AACCCTCTTACAAGCTCCATGTCTGCCATGGCCCACAGCCACTCAGCTGCATGTAATTGTTTGCGCTCCCTTTGTCTTCCCTCCTCCCCTAGACTGGTTATACCAAACCCTCACCGCGTAACCCTCTTTCTCTTATCAACCCCTTCCCCCCGTTTCCCATGACTCACTTGTAAGAAAAGACGAACATTATTGACCGCTTGTCTAACTTGTACCCCGTTCCAGTATAAATATGATTGCCCGGATGAGAATTAATCGAAAACGCACGTAGGCTCTCCAACTACTTTCCTACATTCACTGATGGGGATTTCCGAAATTTAACGTTTCATGAAAGATTAACCTAACTTCTAAAATGTTCTTTAGATTCTAAAAAATATTTAAGTAGGATTGTAAGATTAAGTATCATGTAGTCTACTCCAAAGATATCTCGGTCATATCAAGATGCCGGCTTTTTAACGAGATCCTTTCCGGTCTCCTGACCAAAACTCTTTTCCGTAAAACATTTCCGCTTATGTAATGTGCAATTTTCACATTAATTTTCGATGCCCTCAAATTTTTAAATTTACAAAACATGCTATATTTTGCGAGTTTCTGTTTCTTTTATTTCAGATGGCTCCAGCCGACAGTCGGATGTTGCAGGAAGAACTGCCAAGGAGTTCCGCAAAGCTGGGCGTGCATCTGGACCCTAGTCCACTCGTCAAGACCATTACATTAGCTCAGCTTCGGTATGCCTTCGAAGAATTTAGGAAAAAGGTGATTGACACTAAACGGACTCCACGTTGCCCCTTTCCTTTTAACCCTTTCGAGGATATATTCCGTCTCAAGACTAATTTGCTATTTTGATATTCCTCAGCATTCTGTCCAAGACAGGCAGTTCAGTTAATTGACTGATTTGTTTGCGTTTAGGGGATAGAACTGGCGGTCATCATTCTCTATGACAGCAGGTCGTACTCGACAATAAAGCGACTTGGTGACCTGGAACTGGGAATGAAGACGCAGTGTGTCAAAAACACAACCCTTAGAAAGCCCAATGTTATGCGTAAGCTTTTCTTGTTTGCCCGTTTTGACCTCGATGACTGTCTTGTACTGTATGCCATAGTACTTTCTTCGCACAAATCTCACGTATTCGGGTCTTATAATTGAAGAAAAACAGCACTATTCCAGTTTAAAGCATCTTTTTCCTGGTGCAATTTTTAAGATTGCGTAAACAGCGGGATTTATTGGATCAGTAAATTTCGGAAGTGCTCATCCGCTGCTTCCTCTCGTTGTATAACGTGAATGACTTAAGAGAAAATACAAAATTGAATTCCCACAGAAAAATCGATGCGAAGAGCCACGAAGGCTAATCAATAAGGTAAGCAAGTTAAAACACCTTGGGCAGCAAATATGGAGACAAATTTTTAAGGCGAAAAGTTGGGCAGGGAAATGTGTAATCAGAGAGCCGAATATTACCACGGTAAAGTTAAGTTCATCACGTGCTCCAGCTGTTTACATAGGTCGGATTTAAACCGCCGTACTGTACGGCTTAGAATTCGTGCGAAAGATTGATACCCTTTCGCTAAACGGCATTGAGAAAGGTTGTGACACTATTTATCGTGTAGGCTATTCTGAAGTCATTCCAGTCAAAATAGGATGCCGGCTTTTTAACGAGCTTCTTTCTGACCGCTAACAAAATGCAAGTACTGTAAAAAGTGGCTACTTAATTAGCATGCATTTTTATCATTGATTTTCACTGCTTTATAAATTTAAATATATTTTATGGAAAAAATTAACGAAAAATTATTTCCTGTACTCGTTTGTTAGCAAATTACGCCTTCTCTCAATGTTATACTTATAGAAAGAGAATATTTCGCTTTTAAAAAGGTTTCTAAATTGCCGAATAATTTTTAAGTCTACTGAATGCCAAACTTGAATTCAAGGTTTACAAACTGTGCGCTGTGTACATCCTGCTTAAAGGAAAATACGTTTTGGCCTACGCTTTGAGAGAGAAGTCACATAGTTCACATAAAATATTGCAACAGATGCCGGATGTTACCACGGCAAAGCTAATTTCACTGCGTGCTCCAGCAGTTTACATAGGTCGGGTTTAAACCGCCTTACATAAGCTGCCTCCAGGTAGCGTAAGGTACGAGTTGTTCGTGTCCGAACAAGTACTCCGAAAGAAGTTTTAGGGTTTCCACTTTTTGCTGCCCACAGTGTTTTAGACTTACTTACGTTACTGATTAGCCTTTGTGGCCACTTTCGATGACTTTGCTGTTTGCATCAATTTTTTTGTACGAATTCAGTTTCGTATTTTCTCTGACGTTACTCACGTTACGCAACGAGCGGAAGCATCGGATGAAAACTCTCGAAATGTTACATCCAATAAATTCTGCTGTTTACGCAATCTTCAAAATTCCAGTTAAGTGTGGCACTACCCTGCAAGAACAAGTTTAATGATTTTCAGCATGAATGCAAAGTACCTAACCCATTAAAACCGACATTTGTTTTGTTATACCTCCACAGTTAACCTGATGCTAAAAATCAATGGCAAGTTGGGAGGCATAAATTGGTCTGTAAAACAACTGCAGGAAGAGAACCTCTTGATGGTCATGGGGGCTGATGTGACGCACCCCGCGGCAACCAAGGCAGACAGACTGCAGAAGTCGGTGGCGGCAGTCATAGGAAGCCTTTCGCCTGATCTGATGCGTTATGCGGCAGTCATCCGTCAACAGGACAC